AAACAAAAATTAAAAGTACAATAAAACACAACAAAATTTATTCTCACCTTAATGCTGAGTCCTAGACCCCCGACTCGCTGTCTTTTAATACAAACTGTTCTCTCCTTAAAAAAACAAAAATCAAAATTACAGATAAACTTATCGCTGTGACAATTAAGTTTGATGAATACCTCTTGTCCATTTGTTCGAAAATTAAAAAGAAATTATAGAAAAATACATAAAAATGTTCAAAACACATGCATGGTGGTTGGATGATGGTTAATTCATATTGTCTGAGATGAACATAAAAATATTCAACAATGAATTGCCAGACATCTGTGAATGGTTAGCTGATGATAGGAACCATTCAGTGGGACATACCATTCTATATTGATAATTGCCTCATATTTGCTTTGTATGGGGGTCATGACCTGATATACGATTCGCTGACTAGTCATAGTAGAGACAAATTGAATAATAGGATCATCCCTTGCCATTTTGGTAATTCAAGCATTGTATTTTAATTGCTATGACAGTCCGTTTAATGATTTTACTGAGGAGCCATATGGACATGTACTTCACTCAAGTACGATTCATGTCATAGGATTATGAGCTGCGTTTTTTGACCCCAGCATTTCTGTTACTGATAGTGCCACCGACTTCAGTCTGACTACTATTCTATTGTCCTTTCATCGACAAATATATTTGTATTTGTATAAACTTTGTGGAAGTAATAACTTTATTGTTATCAAATCTCTGTTGAGATATAGTTTGTACTGCAAATAATACCTCAAAACAAATCCTGAGCTTCAAGAGGCAATATTTCAGGTCACATGGCTTATGCTTTACAATATGCAAAAATCAAGAAATGCATTGTTGTTCAAACAAAGATGAGCTGTATTTGCAGAAGTAAACATCCGAGCATTTTCATCAAATGACCACAGTCGGTGAAAACAGAAGCTGAAAACTCTTAAACAAGCATCCTGTTGCGAACACAATTGAAACATTTTTTTATGAGTCCTTATTTTTGTATTTAAGTACCTACATCCTAAAACTGTTTGTCTCATACATATATTGGTACCAAAGCATCATGGGTCATTTTGCAGCCATTTTGAATTGCTACTTAAGAAGTGCTGTGTTAATACATCATACACTAACATACCTTTGTTAATTCTTCCTCATCTGGTAATGCAGCCTATAATGCAAAAATAAATATTCTAATAACATTTTTTTTGTCAGATTTTCTGTCATATCTGTGCTTGACCAACACAGTAGAAAAACTTTGCAAATTATTTGTTTTGTTGTGGACAAAGTCAGTTTTCTCTAATATCAATTATTTTGGGATTGACAATTAAAAACTCTGAGAGGAGGAATGGTGTGTTTTCCTTAATTTTGAGCTAGATTTGAGTTGTTGATTATTTGATAGTTATTTTTCCTGAGGGATTTTTCTCTGCAGATCCTCCCCAAATCTACTACCCTGAGCTTCTAATGGCCAACCCCTTAACAAGTTTTTTGTTTTTTTATTCAGAGTCCCTGTTTGACCCCCTCCCTCCCCCACAACAAAAATGCACGCCATTCAGGATTTCATAAATTTCAAATGGTAGTTGTCCAATGAGTGAAAAAGGGTAATGGACCTTATATAATAATAATAATAAAAATATTTATTGCATCTTTAGAAATACATTTATTTCTATCAGTACAGTAGCAATAACAGTATAACAAAGTAAAATGTAATGTGTTAAATTTGTTACTAATACTAATAAGATTAATAATAATAAAACTATAAGACTAATAATAATAAAATTCAAAACTATCAACTATCTATCTTTTCTTGAAAAGCTTTGTAAATAAACTGTGAAACCTTTTTTATAATTTCACATTCATCTGCACTGAGCAATCGAATGAATGTATTGTGTGCATCATGTGATAGAAAATTAAATTCAGACATAAGTTGTTGGCGCAAGTTTCCATATTTTGGACAGATCATGAGAAAGTGGAATTCATCCTTAATCTCATTCATGTTGCACTGTTTGCACTTTTTTTCATTTATTGAATTGCTTCTATAGCCAATAAATTGTATTCTTCTGATAAAAATTCATGCCTTCATGAAGTTCACTGTAACATCAGAATTGCTCTACTTACATACTGTACTACTGGAACGCTTACAAATTCTTCTTTTTGTAAAATTAAAGCTTCTCTTGAAAGCTGCATTCGTACCGGCTCTGGTTCATGTTTACCATCACTTACAGAAAAGTAACCAGTCTTCACCTGGAAAAACAAATCAAATTTATCATGTCAATATAATATATAGAAAACTAGATTAAAGTTAAAACTACTAATTTTGATTGGCTGAGTTGATTGGCAAGGTGACTAATTCAAGTCAATTTTGATTGGCTGGATTGATTTGCATGATGACGGAGTCAATTTTGATTGGCTGAGTTGATTGGCAAGGTGACTAATTCAAGTTAATTTTGATTTGTTGGGCTGACTGGGGTACATAATATATTTTAATTGTAGCAGTAATTGTAAAGAAACCAAACGATTTGTAATAATGAGGGACGAATATAATGAAGCAGACAAAGACAATTTTAATAGTTGTACAGTTACAGTTACAGAAACAAGCTACAAATATATAAAAATACAAATATTGCGATACATATTTCTTGTTTGTACCAAAGTACATGTAAACAGAATAAATGTGTCTGGTTATAGTAGCATACCCCCATACAACAAAGTGATTGTCATTACAAGTGGCAGGTGGCTTTAATCACGACTCATTCAACTGTGAAATTGAAAATTTCATCTGCACACTTGCATGAAGAATGTTTGAATTCTTGGCTAGATTGCCCTCATTGAATGCAATACGATTTTGAAGCAATATTTTATGTATTTTTGAATAAATTCTTTTTGTACATGATATACATATTTTCTATTGGCTAAAGGATTCAATAAAAAGCAATTGGAGTAGCGGTTTTCAAGAAGAAGTCTAAAATAGCATTTTTACAAAAAAATTAAACATATTCATTAAAAATAGAGAATTGAAGATATTTTTACAAAATGTTCAAATCTAATAGATGACCACTCAAAAAACATACTGTATGTACCAAGTATAGAAGGCAATAGAGTATACAGTTTTTAAGAACAGATCGTTGAAAAAAAAGTTG